TCTTCCCATAACGGTTTCAAGTATCCTGACATTTACTACCTTCTCGTGACGGTTTCAAGTATTCTGACACTTACTATCTTCCCATAACGGTTTCAAGTATCCTGACATTTACTATCTTCTCGTGACGGTTTCAAGTATTCTGACACTTACTATCTTCCCATAACGGTTTCAAGTATCCTGACATTTACTATCTTCTCGTAACGGTTTCAAGTATTCCTGACATTTACTATCTTCCCATAACGGTTTCAGGTATCCTGACATTTACTATCTTCTCGTGACGGTTCCAAATATCCTGACATTTGCTATCATCCTGTAATGGTTTCAAGTAACCTGACCTTTGCTATCGTCATATAACGGTTTCAAGTAACCTGACCTTTGCTATCGTCATATAACGGTTTCAAGTATCCTGTAATCCCTGATACAAATGAAAACGAATTATTTTTTGTATCTGGAGCCTTTTATATTAATGAAAGTTTTTTTCATATATGGTGTTGATATTCTACCAACCTATTGAATGAACTTATTAGTATATATATATATATATACTAAGGGTTCTATTTTGGACCGCTGAATTTTTTGTGACGATGCGAATTCTCCGTTTCTATTTAAAAGATTCACGCGGATTTGTGCACGTGTAAGATATGGATATTTCCCGTCGAAGCTGTGATAGTGAAATACTGAACTACTAATGATGTATTCTGGAGATATAGGTCGTTATTTTATTTACATTGATAGAAATGTCCCATAATAAAGTCCAGTTTGCGTTAAGAGTTCAGAATAATGAAATCTCCGGTTGATGACATATTGTTGTGGGTTTCAGTCGCGTATCCCGTGATGATATTGTTGGTTTCAGAATGTTTCCCTTTATTATCGTTGTTGATATATGATTCTTGTCATAAAACATTAGTATTAGGCCTATTACATTCTTAAACACTACGTTATGAGTCCACTCTAATCTACTAATGGGGTAGGTTAAGAATGCAATGTTTCAAAAATGTAATAGGCCTAATACTAATGTTTTATGACAAGTACTATAATTGAAATCATTCTTCGCTGGCTTGTTGATATATTGTGTGTTTCTGAATGAATATTATTATTATTATTATTACGGGTCTATTTGTAACTTTTTCGCCACACGTAATTTTAGTGGTGAAACCAGTCGTTTTTTATTTAGTTTAGTGAAATCTCGAAATAATGGTTACCACATTTCGTATGGTCAGTGGGATTCATTTATTATGTTATGTTTTGTAAAAGAAAACACAACACTGTATAATAATCCAGAGAACACATGGGAAAAAGTAAATACAAATGTTTTACTCACACATTTCATAGGGCTTGGAAACTAATTAAAATAGGGTGTTAGTAAAAGAAACGTCGTTGTGTGTTACATGAAATTAAAATCCTCTAACACACTTGTGTTGTTCATGTGTTATTTAACTCAGCCGCAATAAGTGCGCCTATAACATACCGAGTTTTGTTAGGAATGGTACGATGTAGCAGCACTGAGTTTTTTTGTTCCCTAATTGTTGAGTAAACTTACCATTAAAGGTAAGCTGTAGCAACACAAAGTTTTATTGTTCCCCAATTGTTGAGTAAACTTACCATTAAAGGTAAGCTGTAGCAACATTGAGTTTTATTGTTCCCTAATTGTTAAGTAAACTTACCATTAAATGTAAGCTGTAGCAACACTGAGTTTGATTGTTCCCTAATTGTTGAGTAAACTTACCATTAAAGGTAAGCTGTAGCAACATTGAGTTTTATTGTTCCCTAATTGTTGAGTAAACTTACCATTAAAGGTAAGCTGTAGTAAAACTGAGTTTTATTGTTCCCTAATTGTTGAGTAAACTTACCATTAAAGGTAAGCTGTAGCAACACTGAGTTTTATTGTTCCCTAATTATTGAGTAAACTTACCATTAAAGGTAAGCTGTAGCAACACTAAGTTTTATTGTTCCCTAATTGTTGAGTAAACTAACCATTAAAGGTAAACTATAGCCATATTGAGTTGTTAGAAATATTTTCCAAAGTATTAAATTGTTACATTAAGTAATTCACGATTAGGAATAAACTGTAAAATTAGCGAATTAAAAAAAACTGTTTTTGTTCTTTACGAAATGTTTCTTAAAATTAGGTAGTAAAAATGGTGCATTAAGAAAAAGGTTTTGATTTTATATTGGTACATATAATATTCAAATACCTTGAAATTAAGAACAGGTGTAGCATGTTAAAAAAATTATTGTATTTAGATTGAACGAAATGTTAAGTAAAATTTAACAAGACCAACGAAGCAGCTTTTAATAGTAAACTCTTCCCTGTTCTAAACCTTGACGGTTTTCCTCAAGGCATTTTTTACCTAACTAGTCTTAACTTAAATGGATAAAGAATTCAAGAAACAGTAATTGCGTCAGGTTGTCGGCTATTTTTTTTTTTTTTTTTTTGAGTTGCTGAAACAGGCATAACTACATTTAGAATTTTACTGGTGTCGATATATTCTGTCAAGCTTTACAGGCATAAGACATAGTTATAATGTTACTGATATCAAGATATCCTGCTAAACCTAATAACCATAACATATATCCAGATATATCCAGTTACAGGATTACATACAGCCACTTTTATCCGGATATATCCAGGTACAGGATTACATACAGCCAATTATACCCGGATATATCCAGTTACAGGATTACATACAGCCAATATGAGCCGGATATATCCAGTTACAAGATTACATACAGCCAATTTTACCCGGATATATCCAGTTACAGGATTACATACAGCCAATTTTACCCGGATATATCCAATTACAGGGTGCCAAATGGCATGAACTAAGAAGTGTTTTACTACATCGTAACATGAGGGTTTAAAGCGTTGAAATTCAGGAGTTGATCCCTTTTGTTGGAAGAGCACAGACAACCAACCGTGCTTTAACAAGAAACATATTAATCCATATCTGTTTATCAGCTTATATAAATGGTTTTATTATCTATTGGGCGAGTAATCCAGTATACAATCCTATGTATTCCTGTGCAATCCAGTGTGTAATTCAAGTATGTAATCCTGTGTTCTCCAGGTGTGTAATACAGTGTACTCTAAGAGTGTAATCCTCTGTATTCCAAGTGTATAATCCTATGTGCCCTAGGTGTGTAATCCAAGTATGTAATGCTTTGTGCTCCAGGTGTGTAATCCAGTGTACTCCAAGCGTGTAATCCTGTGTATAATTCAAGTGTGTGATTCTGTGTAATCCAGTATACTCAAGGTGTGTGATTCTGTGTAATCCAGTGTACTCAAGGTGTGTAATTCAAGTGTGTGATTCTGTGTAATCCAGTGTATTCAAGGTGTGTAATTCAAGTGAGTGATTCTGTGTAATCCAGTATACTAAAGGTGTGTAATTCTGTGTAATCCAGCGTACTCAAGGTGTGTAATTCTGTGTAATCCAGTGTATTCAAGGTGTGTAATTCAAGTGAGTGATTCTGTGTAATCCAGTATACTCAAGGTGTGTAATTCTGTGTAATCCAGCGTACTCAAGGTGTGTAATTCTGTGTAATCCAGCGTACTCAAGGTGTGTAATTCTGTGTAATCCAGTGTACTCAAGGTGTGTAATTCAAGTGTGTGATTTTGTGTAATCCAGTATACTCAAGGTGTGTGATTCTGTGTAATCCAGTGTACTCAAGGTGTGTAATTCTGTGTAATCCAGTGTACTCAAGGTGTGTAATTCAAGTGTGTGATTTTGTGTAATCCAGTATACTCAAGGTGTGTAATTCTGTGTAATCCAGTGTACTCAAGGTGTGTAATTCAAGTGTGATTCTGTGTAATCCAGTGTACTCAAGGTGTGTAATTCTGTGTAATCCAGTGTACTCAAGGTGTGTAATTCAAGTGTGATTCTGTGTAATCCAGTGTACTCAAGGTGTGTAATTCAAGTGTGA